GGGGGAGAAGGACAGCGCGGAGCTCCCGGCGGCGCGGGCAGCGGCGCCAGAGCCGCACACTGCGGCAGCGGAAGCTCCCGGGCCGAGGGACCGCGAAGGGGGAAGGGCCCGAGCCCCGGCAGCAAGGGCCTAGGCATGCGGGGAGCCCCGGGCCGGGCCCGGCACAACGCGGGCCCCGAGCGCGCCCCGCGAGCTCCCGGACTTACAACGGCATCGTCTCTCCGGCCCCTCCTCCTCCTCCTCCGCCGCCGCCGCCGCCACCACCGYCGCCGCGTCGTCCCCTTCTTCTTCCTCCTCCTCCTCCTCTTCCTCCTCCCTCACCGCTGCCGCCTGCGGACCGGTCACTCGTCCCGCGGAGCGGCGGGAGCCGCGAACATGGCACGGGCCGGGGCCAGGCCCTGGGAGTGGAGGGAGCGGCTGTGCCGGGCCCGGCCGCCGCCGCCGCTTCACTCGCCTCTTCCCCTCCGGCCTTCTAACATGGCGCCCGGACGCTACCACAGCAACGTTCCGGGGCGGGGGGGGCCTGACGCAGCGCGGCGGACACCCCCGCACGGCGCGCACTCTCGGCCGGCCACGCGTGCGCAGGCGGCCCGGGACCGCGGAGCACACGGGGGAATGTAGTCCCGGAGGCAGCGGACGCGGCGCCGGCCGGCGTTTGAAAACAAAGCGCCAACGGCCGCGGGGCGGCGCGTGCGTGGGGCCGGACGGGGCCGGGAGAACCCGGCGGGACGAGCGGGGCGGGGCCGCGGCTCCGGGCGGGGCTGGCGGGCAGGGCCGCGAGAGGCCCCGGAGAGCGCCCCGGGGCGCTGCCATCGGCCCGCTGCGGGCGCGGGAAGGACTCGGTCAAAGGCAGTCCCCTGCGTGGCTTTGGCGTCCGGCTCACTCTGCATTCGTTCCATGCRCAAAGCAAACATCCCTTTCTGAGAGTTGTTTTGGAAACCTCTGCCTGGAGAAGTCTGCATAAACTTTCAGAATATTAAAAAAAAAAAAAAAGGCACAGTCTTGCTAGACCAGCTCAAAATTATAGTATTAGGAAAGCACCTTACAGTAACTGTAGAGAAAAACACGTTTAAGCTCTCTTTTTAAGGGTTCACTTTTCATCTTGACTCTAAAAAATAGCCCTTTCAAACTGAAAAATTGTCTAAACCTACCGATTATTTCAACTTCAACTGCCTCACAGTTTGGT